ATATATATAGAATTTAGAAAGATGGTAATGATAACCCTATATGCAAAACAGAAAAAGAGACACAGATGTACAGAACAGACTTTTGGACTCTGTGGGAGAAGGCGAGGGTGGGATGTTTTGAGAGAACAGCATCGAAACATGTATATTATCTATGGTGAAACAGATCCCCAGCCCAGGTTGGATGCATGAGACAAGTGCTTGGGCCTGGTGCACTGGGAAGACCCAGAGGGATTGGGTAGAGAGGGAGGTGGGAGGGGGGAATACATGTAAATCCATGGCTGATTCATGTCAATGTATGACAACACCCACTACAATATTGTAAAGTAATTAGCCTCCAACTAATAAAAATAAATGAAAAAAAAAAGAGTCAAAAAAAATTATCAGCTTCAGTAGTTATCAAAAAATCAAAGTAATACCTCTGTAGTTTATCACTACATACTTCCTACAAGGACCAAAATGATACCAAGTGAGAGAGATGTCAAACAATTAACTTTGAAATCAGAACTAATTTCCTGTGTTTTATGTATCTATCCAGATGTGTAATGTCACTTAGTATTCCATAATGTCTGTCACAACTGTCCCAGACATAACTTATTGAAAAACTTTTTAGAGTTTCTCTCTATAGTCATGGCCTTCTGATGATTGTGAAAAACAAGTTTTGTGTTCAGATACTTTTAAATGGCTGCCATTAGTTTTATGGCCTCACTGCTCCAGCTCTCAACAAATCAGTTCTAGGTTTCCAGGAGCGTTGATACTGATAATAAGAAAGAAGTTCTCTCTCTGACATGAGTGCACAAATTAACTACATCGCAGGTCCCAGGGCTGGAATACTGCTCTCCTTGTCATCCACATGGCATGTGTCCTTCTTGGAAAACCAGGATCCTGTAAAGGGGATTCACCTATTTTAGCTGCAAGTGCAGGGAATACAACTCCCCACTCAAGGATGAGTGTGTCTCAAGCATGTCTCTCCAGAATACCTGCTTCTAAGAAAAAGCCTTTCCATCAAAGCAGATAATTAGTTCCTGGGAGAGAAAAGAGCAGCTATAAGGCAAAGTTCTTGAACCTGTATTGGAACCTTGTTAAATATCCACACATGCAATTGAAAATGACTTTACTTGTTATTTACATTTCCAGAGAAAGACTTGTCAAGAGTTGAAAGATCCATCTAAAGATGTTTCCATCACATTTTCTGCCTGCTGACTTTTGGAGTAGACCATCCATGGATGATCATTTCTCCATGGTTTTCTATATCAATTTATTCTAAGTTCAAGTTCCAGGTTTTCTGTGAAATTTCACTGACTCTTTAGGCTAGAAGGAAATATGTAAACATATAGATTGATTTATCTCCTATTGATTTGATATTGAGTTCTCTGAATAGCTTCTTTCTGAATGTGTTGCATCTTTCTTATTGAAATTTCCTTATCCTAAGAGGAGGTCAGTTTGAAGATGGGATTAGTTCTGAATACCCTCAAATATCATTAATATCATCTAAGACCAGAAGGTAAGTTCTTCAATAGTGGTGATGCTTAGTAAAGATTGTTACTTTATGTATATTGTTGTTGTTCAGCTTCTCACTTGTGTCCGACTCTTTGCCACCCCATGGACTGCAGCATGCCAGGCTTCCCTGTCCTTCACCATCTCCTGGAGCTTGCTCAGACTCATGTCCATTGATATGAGTTTATGTATATAGTAATTATGTTTTAACACTTTTCAAAAACAATAGCAATTTTAAAGAATTAAATTTTAAAATTTATTTTTAATTGTAAAAGAAAGAATTCACCTCATTCTTCTGCAAAATGTTGAAAATGACAATCCCAGTGACTGAGCATCTTAGTTTGGGAATTAGAAACCCAGATTAGAATCTTGCCTTTTCCCACCTGCAGCTTCTTGATCTGGGGTGCATTTCTTGCAACCTTATATTCTTATTTCTTCTAATATCAAGTGAGAAGATTAATCCCCCTCACAGGCTGTTATGTGAATATAAATGTATCCAGCACACTGATGAAGACACACAGAGGAACTTTACTTATTTTTATGACTATTTTTCACAGAGGATTAGGAAGAATTGACTTTTATGGCAATAACACATAAAAAAAAATTAACCCTACATTAAACTGAGGAACAGTCATCTCCAATTTCAAAGAAGCCAAAGAGACCTATATTATGCATAGCAGTTGCTCCAAAGAAGAGTTCTACATATCCATGTTTGGACTAAACAAGTCATGGTTTGTATCAATTAATAATCATGTTGGTGTATTTTTGTGTGTGAGGTGTATTTAAATTTTGTTTCCAATGTCATGATTAGTCCTAATTATTAAAAAAAAAGGTATATGATAGCAAATAAAAGTAGGTTAGAGAATTGGGTCTTACAAATTTCTTAATCTTGATGAGATTCAATTTTTTCATCTGTCAAATTAAGTTAATGACATAGTTATTGCTGTTGTGTGCTACGATTATTTTCGCTGTATGGATGGAATGATACCATTCACATAGATTTATCCCAGATCACTTCTCTACATGGATGACTTCTCGCAGGCAGCTCTGTGTTTGAAAGCTGAATGGTCCATTCCTAATGTACATATTTATTTGTGCACCATTTGCAAACACATTTTTTTTAGCAGTTTACTAATATCACACATTTAGCCTCTGATTATTTGCGACTTCATATACTAACAGTCCAGAAGTGTACTTGTTGGAAAGGAACCGTCCTTTTTTTAATCTGACCCCTCCCCGACTTCCCCATCATTCTCTCCAGAAATAATGAACTGCAGTTAATGGCTGGATATGCATTTTTGTAGATGGTTTGCATGCATGAGTGTGCTTTTTGAAACGGCAGTGGGTCATAAGGTACAGCTGACTTGTTAAGTGTTACTGAATAGTGTGGGCATCTTTGCGTGTGTGTGCATTTCTGCCTCCTCCTTTCCCTGTTGTCTGGTCTATCTGTCTGTGTTCATCACTTTGACAGCTGCCTCCTATTCTGTGAGTCATTAAAGCCAGTCCTCACGATGGGACATTTGCTGATCTTGTAAATAGCTCTACAGCTAGCATCTTTGCACACAGCTGTTTGTCCCTTTATCTGCTTCCTCAGGATAAACTCCTAGAAATGGGGTTGTTAGAGCAGAGGTAGGCAGTTACGTGGCGGGCCCAGGAAGGTTTGCCAGCCTGAAACTCTCATTGGCAAGGTTGAGAATCCATTTCCTCCCAGCTGTCCCCAGTGGTCACTGCCCAGGTGGGCCTGCCCACCAGTATTAACAGCCACACATCTTAGGCTGAGGCTCTAAGCTTAAGTTTGCATTGATCTCTGTTTACGTGGCATGTCCACTTTTTTCTATCGCTGCACAGTATGAAGTAGCGCTAGTGGTAAAGAACCCACCTGCCAAAGCAGGAGACATGAGACGAGGGTTTGATCGCTGGGTCAGGGCGATCGCCTGGAGAAGGAAATGGCAAGCCACTCCAGTATTCTTGCCTGGAAAGTCCCATGAAGAGAGGATCCTGTTGGGTTACAGTCTATGGGATTGCAAAGAGTCAGACATGACTGAGGCGACTTAGCATGCACTCAACCATGCCATGCGTATAGTAATCTATTGTTAAAGGTATATATAAAATACTGGATTAGGGAAATTTACAGGAAAGATGTTAATTTTGTTACAGTCACTCCTGTATCTTTTCATTACTTTCCCATACCAATGCTCTCCTACAATTTGTGTCAACTCATACATAGTCTGATTCTTGTATTCCTTTCAGTCTTGCATCCTCCTATCATAAATACCACACAAATATCTTTACTGGAATTTTATGCAACATTCCCTGTTTCTCAAATCTCTATTCATCCTATACTCACATTCTCAGTTCCCTTACATGGTTTCCCATTTCCTCAGAGTAGCGGGAAAATCCATCAGCCGTTCATAACGTTTACATCCATTTCCAACCTCTTGGGCCTAGCTACTACTACCTGCTCCCTCAGTCATGCCCGACTCTTTATGACCCCATGGACTGTAGACCATCGGACTGCTCTGTCCGTGGGGTTTTCCAAGCAAGAAATGGAGTGGGTTGCCATTCACTTTCCAGGGAGTCTTCCTAACCCAAGGATCGAAGCTGCCTCTCCTAGTTTTCTTGCATCGTCTGGCAAATTCCTTCTCACTGAACCACCTGGGCAGATTTGCTACTATTATGTGTGAGACCTGATGATTCACATGAGGTTCTGGCTCAGCTCAGACGATCAAACGTGCACAGATGGTCTACTGCTGTGTGTGCATAGGGCTCCTCATGTCTCCAACTACAAACATATCCTAGGAGAGGATTTGAGTTAGCTTCAAGAGATCAGAAATATTTTCTTCCTTTATCAAAAGAAAAGAAAAATACTCTTCAGAATTCAGAACTCAATAGAATTTGGCATTTATTACATGGAAAGGATAATGAATTCAAGATTGAGCTAATACAGTGTATTTTTTCAGGTTATGTAATTAACCATAATATAATATACATGGAGAATAGGAATAATGTGACAGAGTTTGTTCTACTGGGACTCACACAGAATCCAAAGCTGCAGAAAGTCATATTTGCTGTGTTTCTGGTCATCTACATTGTCTCTATGGTAGGGAATGTGCTCACCTTGGTCACCATCACAGTCAGCCCATTATTGGGGTCCCCAATGTACTTCTTCCTGGCTCATCTCTCTTTTATTGATGCTTGTTACTCCTCTGTCAATAACCCAAAATTGATTGTAGATTCCCTCCATGAAACAAAAACTAGCCCTTTCAATGAATGCATGACTCAGATCTTTGGGGAACATTTATTTGGAGGTGCTGATATCATCCTGCTCACCGTGATGGCCTATGACCGCTATGTGGCCATCTGCAAGCTGTTGCACTACACAACCATCATGAACCGGCAGTTGTGTTGGCTGCTAATTGGAGTGGTGTGGGCGGGAAGCTTTCTTCATGCAACCATTCAGATCCTCTTCATCTTCCACTTACCCTTCTGCGGCCCTAACGTCATAGACCACTTTATGTGTGACCTGAGCCCTGTGCTCAACCTTGCCTGCACTGACACCCACACTCTAGGGCTCTTTGTCGCTGCCAACAGTGGCTTCCTCTGTCTGATAAACTTCCTCCTCTTGTTGGGCTCCTATGTGGTCATTGCGGGCTCCCTAAGGACACACGGTTGGGAGGCGAGGCGCAAGGCCCTCTCCACCTGTGTCTCCCACATCACAGCCGTCATCATCTTCCTTGTGCCCTGCATTTTTGTGTACCTGAGACCAGCAACTACTCTTCCAATTGATAAAGCAGTTACTGTGTTTTATACCATGATAACTCCCATGTTAAATCCTTTAATCTATACCTTAAGAAATGCCCAGATGAAAAATGCCATTAGGAATTTGTGTAATAGAAAAGTGATTTCAGGTGATGGATAGATAAAATGTACAGGAAGCCCAGCATTGATTCTACTAATGCAAAGGTCAAATGGACATTGCTGATGCTTCCAGCAGAGAATACCTATGAGATAAAAGGAAAATAATTAGCCAGTATACATCATAGATTCTGCAGGGGGGAGAAGAAATGGGTACAAGGAAAGTCAGGAAAAACTTAGCAGGAAACTACTTTTGCATGTTTGGGACATTCTACCAGGTTGGGACTTAGAGTTTCTAGTTTAATCAGTGTATGTGGATCAATAAACTCATTCTAATAAAACAAAATAAAGTAAAAAAAAAAAAACACCTCATATTTAGCAGTGATCTCTGTAACAATCCAATGAAGTCGACATTGCTACTACCCTCATTTTACAGGTGGGAAAGCAAGCAGAAAGAGGAAAGTTCTCAAACAGAAATATTGAAGATTATTTAGCTATATTTAGCTGACCTCTCAGGCTATGTTCTCAGCTGCTGAGCTGTGTTGCCAGGCAATGATAACAGAAAGGACACCTGACTACTTTATTACTTCCATTTTTTGAGACAGGCACTGTGCTGAAACACACACACATATATACATATATATAATTTTATATATGGTATATAACTAGTTTAGGGGTTCAAACTAATAGGCCATTTAACCTCTAAGGGGTACATAAGTTATATTACACCATATTTCCAAATTTTCTTGTTGCTTTCAGAATCACTTTGCTTTGCTTATGTCATGATCTTATCCCGATAATTCGTCAAAAAGAGTGAGGATTCAAGTAAAAGTATAGTTTAATGTCAGACAGAAATTTTGCTTTATAAAATAAATTAAATGTCATACTCTCTGTAATACTTACCTACTTGTTAACAATAGTTTCTGCAAGTAGCACAACATCTGGTTTATGATAAATACTGAATCAGTTCAGTTCAGTCTCTCAGTCGTGTCCGACTCTTTGGACCCCATGGACTGCAGCACACCAGGCCTCCCTGTCCATCACTAACTCCCGGAGTTTACTCAAACTCATGTCCAATGAGTTGGTGATGCCATCCAACCATCTCATCCTCTGTCATCCCCTTCTCTTCTCACCTTCAATCTCTCCCAGCAGATACTGAATGAATCAGTGTAAATATAAGGGAAGATGAAAAACTCACATAAAATATACAGCAGCATGTAGCATTGCACATAGGGTTTACATTCAATATTACAGCTGGGGCAAGTAAGAAAGGCTCTAATAATTTGTATCTTGAATCCAGGAAATGTATGAGGGAATGGATAAAAGTAGAAAGTCATTAACTTTGGTCAGCCTGATTCACTGATATGGACTCACTAAACAGTGATGGTAGTTTAGTCGCTAAGTTGTGTCTGACTATTTGCGACCCCATGGACTGTAGATCAGTATGCTCCTCTGTCAGTGGGATTTCCCAGGCAAGAATACTGGAGTAGGTTGCCATTTCCTTCTTCAGGGGACCTTCCCCTCTCAGGGATGGAACCCAGGTCTTCTGCACTGCAGACGATCTCTTGAATTGCAGGCAGATTCTTTGCTGACTTAGACACCAGGGAAGCCTCCACTAAGCAGAGATCTGGAGGAGGTAAGAAAGGCTTTCACAGGTTTTTGTTTTTTTGGTATTTAAGATATGAATCAAATGGTAACCCACTGTGAGCAGCTTAGAAATACTCAAACTGCTTTGGTTTAATACAGAGGATTAATTAATTCCTGCTTAATCAACAGGAATAGACTGTAACATCAGCAAATTCGTTATAGAAGATGCACTCAACCTCCCTGGACGGGTACAGAGCACAATGCTTTCATCACAACTGTGAAAGTAAATTTGAAGGGGATAATTTGGCATTCTTGAGAAGCTCTGAGATGGCTCTTTCTATATGCCAGCCCTCTGGTTTCTGGTTTGCAAATTCGAATGTGTTACGAGTGATTTGATCCTGGGGAACAGGAGCCAAGTAGCGGCACTCAACCCCAAAGGCAAGGTGGGCTTAGGTACTGTAATGGGCAGTAGAGTGTAGTGCTGTTGTTAATAATTCAATGTTACTCCCCATTCGGTTGCCGTTTTGATGATGCATGCACCAGATGGTGATCTGATGTACTGTGTTCGTTGCTTGTCCCCAGACAACTTGTGTAATTAAACATTACTTGTACTTAAACAACTTACGTCCTTAAAACACAGTGAAAAATGGGAACATCATGAAAACCTTAACCAAGAAAGGGGGAAAACTTGAAGAGTAGATAAAGATAAGGAACAGTAAGGGTTTGGGGAATACCCAGTTTTCCTCCTTTGATCTGGCCAATCAGGGGGACCAGTTTGTTTTCCACTTCTCTTGTGCACAAACTCTTCGAACTCCTTTGTGAACAAAGAACTTTGTAAAATATAAATTGGTGGGCTCCCAGACTCATGGTGAGGTCGCCTCCATGCATGGATGCATGGATGGTGGTCTCTCTGGTACTCAGGCGTGCTGATTATTGGACTCAACAGCTGCTAAGAGCCAGATGAAGGTGCTTTACCCCTGACTGTTGAGATTCATTTACTATGTGCTATTTCAAATTCGCTTCTTTCCTTTCACTTTGATCCTTGAATGGTACCAGCTTAAATACTTGATAAACTGGTGTTTGCTAACAACCTGTGGATTACATCTTGAATTCTTTAGAAGAACCTCTGAAGCAAAGCAAAGATAGAGTCAAAATGACAATCAGAATAACCAGCAGAAGAGGACTTATAGTGTTGTCCAGCTGATCGTGGTGTTCCTAGAGTGAAACAGAGAGGACCCTTTCTCAGTTCTCAGTTGAACTGTGTCAGCAGAAAAGTTCTAGATTACATAAACAAATATCTAGCTCAAGTCATTAAAAGAGAAATTCATGTCATCAGAATCAATTCCCAGACTTGTCTTGAGCCAGTTTGCAGATTCAGAATGCTATGAACAAAATGGGGGATTCAGTACCCTTGAAGAAGGACTTTGGTACCTTGCTAAAATTTTATAATGTATCTTTCCCTCAGATTTGGACCTCCAGCCTTTTATCAGGTTAACTGTGCACTGTGGAAAAGCAAATAATCAGATCATTCAGAACACTGGCTTTGACCTGAAACTTATTCCAAGAGATCCAAAGCAATACTGTAGTCCCTCAATCAGAGTAAGGGTACATGGAGGTCTAGTGATCAATGGAATTTTAGCTCAGGTCTATTTACAGTGGGCCCAGTGATCATGGAACCTATGCCGTGGTTATTTCCTCAACTCCAGAATGCATACTTGGAATAGATATTCTTAGCAACTGACAGAAGTGTTTGGCTGACCTGTGAGGTAAGAGACATTATGTCAGGAAAAGCCCAGTGTGAGACACTGATACTGTCCTGCCCAGAACAGTGAGTCAAAGCTGCATCACCCTCTGAGGATCGCAGAGGTTATTGCCAAGGTCAGACCTTGGACGGCGCAGGGTGGTGATCCCCACAACGTCCGATTTCACCTCTCTCATTTTGCCTGTTGCCGAAGACGGATGGATCTTGGAGAGTGAGTGGATAATTCTAAGGTTAACCAGCTTCTGTATCAGGTGCAGTTTCATCCCAAGAGTAAATTGTCAGAACTGCTGGTACCCAGTATGTAGCTAAGCTTCTGCTTTTATGTCTCTGTCAATAAGAACTACCAGAAGCATTTAGATTTCAGCTTGAAAGGCCAGCAGTAAACCTCAACGGTCCTACATCAGGAAGGCATCAGCTCTCACCAGAATTGTGTTATAATATAGTTTATAGGGATCTTGGGTGTCATATTCTACAAGATATCACATTGGTTCATTGTACTGATGACATCATGCTGATTGGACCTACTGATCAAGAAGGAGTTAACTGTTGAGGTAATCAGAACACAGGTTGGAAAAGAACTTCTAGACACGGATCATTTCAGAAGGGAGTGAGTTTATTAAGAGCATGAAGCAGAGATAAGGAAGGCACTGCAAATGCAGTGGGCCAATCTCCTGACAGACCAGGGAAAGTCAAGAGTTTTCATGGGTTAGTAGCCAATTTTTACAGCCTCCAGGCAAAGCAAATTCCTGCTGAAAAGTTGGCATTAGGTGATTGGTTTGGGTGCTACAGGGTGACTATTGGGGTGGGCATTTTTGCCTAATCTGAGGTCAGGAAGCCTGCTGGTGATGATCAGGGGGGCTTTCAGCAACAGTTACAATGGGGCTCAGCCAGCTTTGGAGGTGACCTCAGTTCTGGGCTCCGCTTCTGTGGCCTTGGTGCAAGGCCTCGCACCTGTGGCCTTGGGGTAGAACTCAATAGAAATTGCTTTAGAGGTTTGGTAAAATATTTCCTGTGTTACAGGGAAATACAAGTTCAGCTAAAATTAGGAGACTCAATCTCAATGAAATTTCTAGGGGCCCAGTAGCATGGGGCATATCAAGCTATCCCTTTTAAGATTCTGAAGGATCATTTGTTCTATCTTTCTTCTCCTATAACCAAAGATGATGCATATTGTCCCTAGGACCTCATTGGATTTGGGGGTCAACATCTCTTTCATTTTGGAGTATTAATCTGACTGATTTATAAATTATTCAAAAAGCTGACAGCTTGAAGTGGGTGCCCAAAATAGAAAAGATTCTGCAAAAGTTTGGGCCATCGCATAAGCTTCTCTTCCGCTTAGGACAAATAATCCAGTAGATCTATGGTGCTTGCTGTATCAGTGGCAGATAAGAAGGTTGGAAATGTCTGCCCTCCATATGTGAATTTCAGTGAGACACTTAGGATTTGGGGAAAAAATTCTTGCCATCCTCGAAAGATAACCACTCCCCTTTTTATGCAAAAGCTCGTAGCCTGCTAGTAGTTCTTAAAGGAAACTGAAAGCTTCATTACGGGCCACCAAGTCACTATGCAACCTAAGTTTCTGTCATGCACTTGGTATTATCTAACCCATCAAAGTCATAAAGTGGAGTACTCCATCATCAAATGAAGTGATATATACATGGTCTGGCCCAAGTAGGACCTGAAGGCAAAGTTCCAGAGAGAAGTGGCAAAAATGC